TACTTTTGATTGTTCATTGTCATTAGTTGATTTTCTCATTCAATCATATATATACAATTATGTCAAAAGGGCAATGACATTTGTATATCAAATATTTACAAAATCATTCTGTTTATTATATGCTAACATATTGCATTTAGAACTGTTTCAGATATTTTGGGCATGTATTGGAAAATGTTCTTGAGTATAACATTCGAAATCATTTTGTTAATATGGCATGCTGTTTTTCATGATCAATTGGTCCGCGTCGATAATTCCATTTTAGCTTCAACTGCATCCCAAACTGATGAAATTTGAGTGTGCACGCCACTTCAACTCAGAAATCACATTGCTGCAATTAATGAAGTATTTTACATTTAATTTTTTTTTTCAATTCGGATTGTCCGGCGTTAATTGACCACAAAAATGGGAACTTTCTGCAAACAATTTTCAGTTGGCATCCATAATAACTCAGTCGGTTTCGGCTTTTAAACAATCATTTAGATTTAACAAGCTTCTCACTTTATACCAAGAAATTACCCCTTCTACATTTAAACCACCGCCACCAGCATGAATCTTTGGTATCAGGCAGGATTGATCGATACGTTTCTCACATCAAGTTATGTCGCTGTTTTTAGAAAGTTATCAATCCCGACAACCATTGTCCTATCTTTTAATTATCCATTTTTTATGATTTTTAGACAATTTTAGTCTTTGCCTCTTTCTAATACGACATCAGTGGCATAAAGTTTGGTCGTCACATGCTGTAACCTATCTGGTGTAAGGAATTTTTCATTGTATCTAAAGGCAGATTACGGCGAAAAAGCAGCGTATATCGCTGGGTTAAAACATAATCCATCCATGATACAAGCTGTGAAATTATTTCAAAATATCTATTCGCAGGTTCGACACCTCGGCGTGGTGTAAAGGTTAGCAAGCATACCTCGTTATATCACTTAAGACTGAATTGTGAGTTCGATCGTCACTGGGTAACCCATACTTTCGTCATTGTGTCACATCTAAGCTATCGTTAGAAAATCATTTAGGGCACTTTGGGGCGGTCTAATGTTTAGCAAGCGTGTTTCGATAGAAGAATTACGACTGAGTAGTGAGTTCGATCCTCACTGTGTGCCACATACTTTCGGCCTAAAGCCACATATAAGTTCCGCTTGGAAAACCATTATTTCTTCGCAGGTTTAAATGAAACGTTATCTAAGAGCCATACGGATTTTGCCTAATATAGTTTCACTATTTTTATAGCTTCTACAAAATATCTGTACATTTTCTTTTTCATCATCACAAAGTCGGCCGTGCATACTTCGAGGTTCCTTCCTTACCGTTTAGTTCACAACAAATACGCATACGAATAATTGTTGTGAAGTACGACTCTTCCCATATGTGATATGAATTACTTTCGTGATTTCACCTTAGATTTCTATTTCTGAAGTCTAATTTTCTCTAATTATTTCTCCTCAAGCAAGGCAACAAAGTCACATGGGATTACTGAATGTCAGAGTATATGAGAAAGATAAACCAGTATTAAGGAGAGAAAACTAAAGAGGAATAGGAATTTAGAAGAATACGACTGGCGTTGAAATTACTTTTTAAACATCACAGTTTACATGACAGTAAGAATCTAATGAGAGTTTCTCAAACGAAAAGGACGAAAAGTAAGAGAGAAGAAGCTATTATCTTTCCCTAATTCTGAGATGAGCTATTGTAACTATTTACATAGTTCGAACTTTTGTCTCCATCATCATTAACATATTCACGACGTTTCGGCCATAATACGTTCCGATATTCGTCAGGATTTGTCGATGTTTCTGATATGAGGTATTTAACTGTTTACGCAATTTACATGGTACGGAACGGTGTCCCCATTTTTATTGTAATATTCACAAAGTTACACTTGTTTTACACTCGGATATACCTTGGAATTTCGAACCGAACCGCTTATTTAGATTCGAGGTAGATTTTTCTAATTCCACGTGCCATGCCTTTTTGGGTATCTCAGTATCAGTTCATGCATTTGAGTAATTCAAATCTCCAATGTTTCGTTCCCTCTGCTGTCGCCAGTTATTTAGCTCTCAACTCTTGGTGTCAAGTCATTTTTTGAATTGTTACACCATCGCTTGTATCCAAGGTATATCAAATTAATTGTTGGGACTCATAAACCTAACTGTTTTTACAGAGATCATATTACAGTTACTGTTATCAATATGTATCTGTAGCTCTTTCTATCATTGGTTCCTTTATTGTATTCATGTCTATACATGGCCGGTCGAAGGCTATATTTTTGGCCGGGCCTATGGGCTCGGGTGACCACGTAAAACTCGGCCTTGTGCCACATGCGACCCCTCGTGAGGGGACAGCTAAATATAGCTTGGCCGGTTAAGGAGATTATTGTGGCATAGCATATGCTCCCATTCCTTAAGTTTTCGTATTTTCCAGTGATGATCTCTGTCTATATCAACGTCATCAGACAGAGGGCGGTGATCTCCCATTACCCTCCATCTATGGTCAGCAATGCCTGATTTTGCAATTTACCATAGTGTTACGGCTTTACGGAGTTTTTCCAGTAATAGTAACTTGACCTAAAAAGTTAAATACTTAGCCACAGCAGCAGGAACAGTTACATGGAGAATTACTAAAGGGAATTATCTGATACTGATATGTCCAAAAATTAAATGGCATGTGGTATTAGAACAATATACATTTGTGGATTAAATAAAGTATTCGGTTCGACATTCTAACGTATATCACATGATTAAGATCAGAGCGTACAACGGCTAAAAGATCGTGAATATGACAATAAAGATGAGGACAACAGTCCGAACGATATAAATAGCGTAAAATGAAACTATTAGCATAAAACATATGGTTACATCTATCTATTCAGATATAATATGCTTACACCATGCTGAAAATCTAGTATTGTGCTTAAATTCATAACATCTATGTACCAAAAGCGGAAGGTGATCAGATGAATTAACATGAAAATATTTAGAGAAAAGCCAGACGGAATCACGTTACATTGGTGTGAAAGTGACTAAAGCTTTGACAGAACTAATAACATTTTTCTTTGTATTTTATATATAATCGCTAAATACATACCATAAAAATACATACATTAGCCAGATGTGATGTATTTTATACAGAATCACTAAATACATACCATAAAAACATACATTAACCAGATGTGAGAGGTAGACATATAAATGGTTAAGTTAGAGGTCTCGAGAAAAAGTCTCTAGCAAATGAACCACATTTCTTAGCAGCAAACCTAGGAATTAATCCAATTTAAATTTCCCACATCTTGTCAGTGGAAACACCTTTGTCCGAGAAATCATTCTTCTATAGGTTAGCTTTTGTCATTCTGATGATTAAATAGAGAAATTCCGTTAAAATTAACAATACAATTCTTTAACCGATTTACATCTGTTTGTAAGTGATTTATTTCCAGCTACCAATGGGTTTTATTATTAAGACATGAGTAAATAGTTGTTTCATCAGTGTCCTTAACGAGTTGAGAACTGATGACAACGGTGATAAAAATTTGCGAAAATGACAACGTTTAAGGCATTTCATTTATACATATAAGAAATAGCGTAACCTGAATGATAAAATGTATTTTGATCTATTTATATAGAACGTCAATCTCTTCCCAGCAGAAAGAAAAGGGAAACTGCATTTTGAAAATTTATGAAATAGTGCTTCTAATATCTCCACGCTAAATGGAAATGCATTTTTCCTCAGTTTTTTTAAAATGCATTTCACTTCGCATCTTTTAATGGGTTTTCTCTGCATGTCTTTGTGTAGCAACTTCCACCTCTAATATACATGTTCTGAATTCACATTGAATCTGCTTCATCCATTTTGAGAAGTAATCACAACAAAAGTAATTAGCAAATACGTTTCACTCTAGTAACACTAACACAGATATTTTAGTTAAAGCTTTAGAAAATCGAGTTGACGAGTGTGTAAATATTTCCACATATATGTCTAGCACGGTGCGGTGCCACACAAATGTCTCGGAAAAGCAAGGAAAATTACTGTACATATGCAAATGTCAACGTCTATAGTTGGGTGACAGATGCATCTGCTTAACAATAGAACGGAAATTATAAACTGAAAAGAAAATCAAAGAACCCCATATATATATATATATATATATATATATATATATATATATATATATATATATATATATATATATATATATATGAATGAGAAAACAATATATATTTTATATATCAATGAGAGTATTGAGGAAATTGTAAGGAAAAATGGAAAAAAAAATGTTTATTTGCTACGTGTTTTATCCGTTAGGGCTTCTTTTGAGGCCGTTAACATCGTAATTGATGAAACGCGTCACAAATAAACTTTTAACAATATATTTTGCTATTTCCTCAATATATATATATATATATATATATATATATATATATATATATCTGTGAGTGTGCGTGACAAATATAGTTTAACGGTATGCTATATTTCTCGTTTAAACTATTCAATATCACTGAAAAATCGCTTCTGCATATGAAAGTTGATATTCAAGGCGACAGTCGATTTCATACTAAAATCAATCATCAGGCTACGAGCGTTGTGTTGTATTGCATTGTGAGAAGTGTATTGTATTATTCTAACGGTTATTTTGGTGGGTAGTAAATATTGTCTTTCGAATTATTGACAGAGATATTAAACGGGAATAATTGTGAATTGGAATGCAGTTCTTTTGGTAGTCGTTGAGCAAATATATATCGCCTAAACTTTGCGTCTCTGGGAGATGACTTCAATGTCCATATATATATATATATATATATATATATATATATTGTTACCTTTTCGTCACCGAGACTCGTTGTACATTGGGTAGGATGCTTGCCTCATATTGAAACGGTCCGGGTTTTATTCTCGGTAGTGGATGCGCAATGATAATGAGTGCCAAAAATAGGACGAAATGGCCGTCCTGTGCATTCTGTTGAGGATTGTTCTAGACTTGATGAATTGAATTGATTATGATTATTCTAATCCCAATTAATCTATCTATCTATCTATCTATCTATCTATCTATCTATCTATCTATCAGTCATATGTTTGGTACAGTATTTCAGTTTTTTAGAAACAATCACTCAGACTATTCGCCCATAGGATTTCGAAAGAAAGATTTCATATATATGTGGATTTGATTATATTGGTAATGACTTGTGCCCAACCGACGACACTTTATGAATGAGCCCAATATATAGAATATGTGCACGGATTGGCAGATGTTCACCAAAACGAACATCCTCGTATTTTTACTTGTCTTTCCCCATAGCTGGTGAAGAGAAGAATTGGTATTATACCTCTTTCATTGGTACTAACTCATAAGTGTATGTAATGATATCGATTGGAATTGGAACTCAGACACTTTTTCACATGTGAATAATGCTATTATATTTATATTGTCTACGAATTTGAGGAAGGAGGTTTGTAAGTCTCTGTACGTTTACATAATGCATAATTTACCTATGATTAGAAAGCTGCAATAATAAGGTTAGTATAATGAAAGCATTAATAAAAAAAGAAAACTCTATAATTTCAGGTGTGCGTGTGTGTGTGTCAAGCAACAACCATTCTTTTAAACATATTTCGTTGTATATTACAGACAAAGTATATTGGATTCATTTTTTTATTTCGCTTTTTCTAATATCGTTTTATTTTCCCGCTTGTTGGGAGTAAAAATATGTTTGTAGAGTCTATTCTCCCAACGGCTTTCGTCTAGCTACTTCTTTTGACATTTTCTAGGGTATTTTTTGAGATTAATTTATTTCAGTGGTTGTCTATTTAAGATGTACTAGCGTGATGCTTATATAGTAGTAGCAGTTAATCAGTGACCCGTGGAGAAAAAAATCATTGTTGGAATTCCAGTTAGCGATTTCTAATAAAATAAAACAACACATTTTTAATATATAACTGATGGTAAATAAGGTGAGATTACGAGTGGGTGCCATGTTTTATGTTTAGGGCTTTTCTGCCTGAAGGATGATTTCAGTTATGAGATTTATGAGGAAATTTGTGTTGTTATCAACCAGATTATTCTTTATGGGTTCTTTGTGTGTGGCAAAATGCTCTTTCATTGCACTTTGGTTATATAAGTTAAAAGTGGGCCGTTCGATGAAGAGGTATTGGTATGATCGATATAACTAATTGATTTATGAAAATAAAACAGTCTTGTTCTGTGTCCATAAATTGATACACTATATTTGTCATCGCATTTTTTTTTATTTAATCGGTATATTTTGAATTAGTGACGACGTGTATAGCGGTTTTCCCTTTTTCGTAATACGTTAAAAGTCTTACTTGTTTCCTCGGATTTGTATTTAATGGTTCTTCGTCTGGTGAATTCGTGCTGCTTTTAAATATTGTGCATGTGGATTCAGTAATATCTGTTGATGCTTTTCTCTATGTATTTTTAGTACAAGTGTCATATACATTTTTGTAAGACTAATTTTATTTGTTTATCAATAATATAGTTATTATTATTGTTAACTTAAGGCTTCTATATGTTTTTTTTTAATCAGAATTATTATATGTGTAGTAGAATGTGGCATGATCTACTTAAGAAATGTTTTTTATCGCTGTTATCTCATTCAGAGCATTGGACATCATAGTTTGAAAAAATGTTACGTAACTGTGACTATATATATGAATATATATTGAAAATATTAATGTATATTTATTTATTAATCCGTCATGAATTTCTTAAATTAAACGATATTCTGGATACACATATCTGATACTCGTTATATTTCAGGCCGGTAGACGAAATAAAACATTGTATAAAATACACGTATATCCAGGAAAAAAAACGTTTGAAACAATAGAATATATATGATTGTCTGTGTATGTGCGTGTGTATGTTTGTGTGGTATCCTTGTAATTCAACTGGGGAAGAGATTACGAGAGAAAAATCTAGGAGAATAAAAAATTCGATATGTTATATCGTTTGTTTTCAATGATGTTCCGGGTCTGGAATTTGCTGCGAGCAAATGCTTTTCTCCAAAAAGCGTATTCACAGGCATCGATTGATTTTTCTTAAAACGTCAAGAGATATCATTCTTTACAGTTCATGTAGCATTACTATAAACGGCAAGCAACGTTGCCATATTGACACGAGGCAATATAAGACCGTTGAAGGAATATATATATATATATATATATATATATATATATATATGTATGTATGTATGTGTGTGTGTGTGTATGTGTGTGTGTGTGTAATCACAAGTACACATCAAGTGCTCCAGACCAGGTGCAATCTTCAGCTGAGCGCCGTGCTTCAGCAAAGTTTCGGCCCATTAATCAGTTTTTATAACCTAATCCGGCTTTTGGATCCCAGCTAACTTCAGGAATCTCTTTAAAGAGTCAGCAGGAAAACCTCTCCAGTCAAACTCAAATGGCACCAGGGTGCAGCCATAATCTCTCTGACGGATTTCAGCCAACAGTTTCTCATACCGAAGCAAATTTCTTTCATGCGCCTCTTTAATCCATTTTCCCATGTTACTGTCAGTTCGCCAAGCAACAGATGTTGCTTCTCGATATCAATTAAGACCAGATCTGGTCTCAGACTAGACACATCGACCTCCACTGGCAATGCAGCATCAACCAATATTCTCCACTTCCTTGAGCTTTCCGACCTGGTCTTCTGCCTTGTGACAGTCGCACTTTGCTTCGGAGGTCCAACGAGGCTATGCTAGCATTTCTTGCAGCTGCTGCCACGACCTCCAGATCCAAGTTATGTCTGAAGGTGTACAAGCCATTCTGTAGCGCCTACGGAGGGGCTGACAGTATGTAGCGCAGGTTTCCATAAGCACCAAACAACCTGAAGGAATGTGACTCCTGCTCTCCCCATCTCCTCAAATTTACAAGTAATGCTACTGCATCATATGCTGCCTGTATGAGGAACCTAAAATGCACTGCACCTAGACGCCACCAATCAGACCAACTGAACTGAACACACTCCATACCCTCCTAGTTAAGCCATCGACCCTGCTGAGCCTGCTGGACAGTCGGCACTAAACATCTCTTCTCTTCGACCTTTCGATCCCCCTGTTATTGTAACTTCCGTTGCTTCAGTCTGCTGGCCTCTGACCAGAATCTTTCACTTTCAACTAATCTAATTCCAGCATGTCCCTTATTTGTAACATCTTGAAATTCTGCCTGCTTTACATCACTTCCGCGGCTGACATCACATCTGACACTTTCCACTTTCTTCCTGTCTTCACCGCTGTCACATTCTTCCGGAATACAACATCCCTAGACTCACACAACATGGACTGCAATCTCACATTTGCCACCTTGTAGTCTTCCACCAAAGAAGTATCAGGTAATTGAAGCCCCCACACCCGAGCTGTCATAAAAGCGACCGGCGACAGATACCTTGCAACACCAAGCCACATCTGCATGCATTTACTATTTTTTTTCTCAATTATCTCAACTCTAGACAGTGCCACCTCATATATAGTCAGCGGCCACATTAATCTAGGCATCAATCCAAAATTCTTACACCACACCTTAAATTTTCCGGGAAGCCCACATTGGTCTATAATTCGCAGGCCCACGTCCGCTTGTTTGTGGATTTCAATACCACGGTGACGATCTGTCACAGAGAAGTTATACCACCTCCCAAAAAGCTTCACACCTTGCTCCCGCACTGTTGGTATCTTTTCACCTGCGATGTGAAACACTTCATATATGACAGAACTTCCCGTCATAGAGAGTGACCTGCTTTACTTTGGTTTGAAGCCCATCTGACTCATTCTACCAACTCTGCAAGTCTATCCAGAACCAACTGTGCTATTTTCCTATCATCTTGAATTATCGTAATATCACCCATAAATACTCGTATTTTGAACTCATTTTCCAGGAAGAGGTACTCTGGCATCAGACCTCTCAAGATCACCTCCATCACCATCACAAACCGTACTGGAGATATGGCACATCCCATCGCAATCCCCCTTTGTAGCTCCACATACATTGTAGTATACTTCGTCGTCGAAAAACGCAAAAGGAACTGATTGAAGTACATAGCCAGACAATCCCTGAGTCTCTGCGGAACATAGAAGAACTCCAATGCCAACTGTATCATGCTATCCGGAACTGAACCCTGCACCAAGATCTAGCCAGATGACGTGAATATTCTCCCTTTCATTTTAGCCTCTCGGATCTTTGCCCAAATACTTGACACATGTTCCAAGCTGAAAACCTGTAAAATATATATATATATATATATATATATATATATATATATATATATATATATATATATATATATATATATATATATATATATATATATATATATGTGTGTGTGTGTGTGTGTGTGTTAAAAAGATGGCGTTAAATTTAGAATTTCTACATTCGACTCTATCACTTGGTATGATGCCAGAAGTGTTGAAACAAAATGTCTATTTTTGTAGCCATTTTATAACATATTTATGTTATAAGTTTCGGATAAATTATATTTCCTCTACTCAGTATTAAGTACTCTATTAAGTATAGTATTTTTTTGTTTATTGGAATATATTCCGTGTACATGCTAATATTATATATTATATATATATATATATATATATATATATATATATATATATATATATATATATATATATATATATATATATATATATATATATATATATATATATATATATATATATATATATATATCCCACTTTTCAGGTTAATTCAGACCACCGCGGTTACGATCCGGTTGAAGATCGCTGAAGTAAACTGGAGCGAAGAACAGGTCGATGGAGAAGAGCTACACAAATTATTCTTTGCAATAAGAATTAACTCCGGTTGAAAAAATAACAACCGTATTGCTTATATATGATTTGTTGCGTAATCGGTTTTAACCGTTCCCACTTACGTTATAATTAAATGACAGTGGAATTCTTGAAATTACAGACTGTGTTAGCATTAATTTAAACATCTAAGTTCTGTTCTTCAGTGCTAGCACAAAGTCTTATTC